GACTTTGCTTGGTTCGCGTGTAGTGAATGAGTTTTTCCAAAACAGTACAGTCCATCTTTCAACACCAAGTGTATTCAGGAACATTTGTCTGCATACCCGTATCTGTTCTTCGTTTACTTGAAGATGATACTCGAATGATTGCGTCCTTCTGGATTTGTTTTGGTTTATTCTTTGACGGTGCCGTTTTGTGGGAATAGCCTTAACTAAGCTGTCAATGTAAACTTTTTTCTCACCCACGTAAATTTCCAAAACTTATCAAACATTGCTTTTCTTTCAGTATCAGTTATAGTATCGCATTTAAGAAGTCCTTTTGGTACTGTTTTGCATTTACATCTGCCTTTGATTTTTCTAGGTTGCCTCGGTTCGCTATAGTTCCATTTACCATTCTTTTTCATTTTTCCGCAATAATTCCTCCCTTTTTCCCTCAACAGTTTATTTTTTTCGGCGAACCACGTGGATTTATTCACCTCGAACCTTTTTTTACGTTTAAAACTTTTTTTTGGATAGTCCGAATGAGAATTTGACGACATCTCAGAGTCCGAGTGTTCCGAATATGAAACCAATCCTCTTGTACTTTGGTCAGAGTCGGATAAAGTTTTACTTTCCCCATGGCTCTCAGATATAATATTTGTTGATATAGCCTCATCAGCTTTATCGGTCAAACTTTCTGGAGGCACGTGATTATTATTAATATTGTTAGTGGTAATAAAATCGCACACACTGTCTGTAATAGATTCTTTATCACATATTTGTTGTGAAAGTTGATTTTTGTCACTAGATATTTTGCATTGGCTCTTACTGATGTTATCCAAACACATACCCTCTGAAATATCCACTATTTCGAGTTCAACGTTTTTCACAATTTCCATTTGTAAATTCTCGATAGAAAACAGGCTAGCAAGGTCTACATCTGTATTTGGATTTTGAACTCCCAAGTCATCATCAGACTTCATTTGTGGATCAATGGAACTAGCTGTAGTAAGAACATCTTCTGAGAAGATGTCTTCTATTCGCGCCATTTCTACTATTCTTCGGGATCGGGACATCCTGAAGGAAATAAATCAACTATAGAAAAACTGCTATCTCCATTTGAAAATAGTTCTGAAATAAAAAGAATAACTGCTATCTCCATAACAGCTTGAGCTATAAAATTTCTGAATAAAATAATGCTTTTTATAACTTTTAAACTCTGGAAGTTTATTTAAAAGTTCTACGTACTCACCTTAACAGTTTTTTCACCAATTAACAACAAACACTTATTAAATAACACTAATTTGCTCGGCAAACGGCAACAGCATGTTAACTTTGCACGTGTTCCAACAAAACTAACGTCTTTCTATGGAGATAGCTGATTTTCGGCGTAGAAAATATGAAATAGTTGGTTAGCAGTATTTCGCGCGGTCGAAATTGACTAGTTCTGACTTGAAATGAACTTGTCTGTTTTTCGGACACGATGCGCAAAATAATAATAAATTGAACTGCATTTAAATCTCATTTTAGGTAAAAGTGGAGATAGCAGGTTAACACTCTTAGCCAACGATATTATATGCTGAAACGGAATTAAAAAATAAAAACTGAAATAAAAAAAGGTTGATTATAGAATATTGTTATTTATTATAATACACATTACAATTATTTATAATACATATATTTATTATAATACAATATAATATAAAAAAACTAATTCATGTTGTAATTATGTGATATCCCTCTGAGATACTCGATCAAATTTTGCCTGTTATAATTGGCCACTTTATTTAAAATCCTCTCGTCGGCTTCCTCATAAGGTTTCCTTTTTGATGCGCCATTGCGCCCGGCAATTGCTCGTTCATAGTCTGCATCGTACGAAGACTGTACCTTTTTTAAATTATCTATGAATGTCCATAACGAAGGATGAGCAATGCCAGAACCAAAAGCCAGTTGCAACTTGCGATGACATGCTTCTGCAAAATTATTTGTCCTATCTCGTCCATTCAATGTTCGAAAATAAACGCACCAAACTGCTGATGGAAAAGTTGCTGGCACTCTGGTTCCATTATTCCTAAGTCGACCGATATAATTGCTGGTAAACCATTCTAAAATTGGTTCCAATATTTCTGGCAACTCATTTTCCAATTCGGCAATGGCCTCAATCACATCCTCTTCTGGGACAAATGCCAATGATGTTACCATTTTTGCTTGTAGTGCAAATTCGGGATCAGTATTGTACATTCCTAGGAGATTGCAAGAAGATAAATGCTTTCGAAGATTTTTGACCAAGTGGAATAAGCATCCTCTAATTTCGGCTTCTGGGAAAACTTGTCTTACGGCCTGGTGAATTGCCAACTCAAAGTCGACACTGATGCTTTCCGGATTTAATTGCGGCCAAAGAACTTTTATCATGTTAAACACATTGAGATATGTTTCTGCACTTTTATTGGGCAGCAAGCAATATAGTACAGGAAAAACTGGACCCTTCTCTTCATGCGTATCTTTTCTTGCCAGAACAAAAAATATTTGAGCAAAAAGTGGAGGACACAATAAGAATGTGCCGTCAACAAATAATTATTTCATGCTTGCACTCCATGTTGCATGGTATTCTCTACCAAATATTAGAATTCAATGTGGATCCACTTGATCTCTTCCGGAATCTGCCAGCAAAAAATTCTCAAATTGAGTAGGGCTGTAATAATATTGCGAGTACACTTCTGGGATGATAATTTCACTAAGAGTTTCTGGATTGGCGGGTGCTTTGCACATGGTTACTCTTACTCTTTGAATGTTTCTCCGCATAACACTGGAACTTGGAAGCATTCGTTTAACCGCAGCTGGTACATTCTCCAAAACTCGTCCTCTGATTTGGGCAGGATTCTCCATCGTTGTCGCGGCCAGGTGCTTCACAGTGGTATTAATTTTTTGCAGAACAACATTTGCTGCATTTCCTACCGTACTACATGTGTGTTCATTTCGTATACATTTGAAAGAACCATCCATAATATTGGTCCATATTCTTCCTTTGCATCTTTCATGCTTGTTTTCGCAGCGCCAGAATTGAATGGTGTTGTCCTTGTTTGTTTTATCCTTCGTGTATAGGTAGCCATCCCAGTAGTACTTTTCGTGACCCCTTTGGCTAAGAACTTTATTTTCCATCTTGAGTCTCAGTAAATAAAAAACTCACACAGACAAACAAAATTACACACAATGTCTTTACTTCTGAGATGAATTCGGAATATTAAGGAAAGTGAATATCACCAGTCTTTTATAGGATGTAGGTACAAGTAAGCAGGTAATTATCAGGTAATCTTATTTTTATTTTGTTTTGAAAAATCTTAAGCCCTTAAGCAGGCAATTATAAGGTAATCTTATTTTTATTTTGCTTTGAAAAATCTTAAGCCCTTAATATTTATTTGCTTTCTAATACTAGGTATTAAAAACCCTAATTGTAGTTAAGACCCTAATTGATTTTATTGCCACCTTAATTTTGTAATTCCAAACAACTCTGGCCATTAAATTTTAATTTCTTAATCAAGAAGTTTCTTTTTCAGATTCTTAGTTTTAATATTTTTTCCTGTATATGTTGATTTACTTTAGTAATAATAACTTTTTTCCAGTTTCTTATTTAAAATCTCTTATATATTTTTATTTTATTAATCAAATTCTCCAATCAAATTTTTTTTATAGGTTGTATCTTATTTTGTATTATAATAAATAATTGAATAATATATTATTGTATTCCTTTTCGCCGAGTTGATCGTCGCCGAGTTTACCATCGCCGACTCGGCATCGCCGACTTTACATCGCCGAGTTGACCTGCTCCGGCATTTATTTGTATCACGTAAGGTTTTTTTTTGCAAATATCAAAGAAAGAAAAACGATATTTTTTTATTGAGTAAAAAAGTGGAAATCTAGTTAACAAAGTGAATAAAAACTTTACTCAGATTTTTTTGAGTAAAATCTTGGTCTTTTTGTTAGAAAGCGGCGTTGTCCAGACATTTGGCTGTAAATTTTTAAGGGCATATCCCGTTTCAATATCCAGTAGTAGTCCGCTATCATTGTCATGCTCCATCTGCCTTGGTATCGCCGTTCCATTTCCTCAATGTCCTGGTGAAACCTCTCTCCCTGTTCTTCGCTAACTGCTCCAAGATTTTCAGGAAAATAGTTCAAGTGTGAAAACAGGAAATGCATTTTCAAACTCATGTTACAACCTAGACGATGAAAGTGTTGTAACACATTTTGAACAATATTTTCGTAGTTTTCGTCCTTAGAGTTCCCAAGAAACTTCTTTAAATGAAACCCAGGCATTCTTCTCGACATTGGTCATTGTGTTTTGAAAATCCTTGTCTTTGCGTAATGTTCTTATCTGCGGCCCAACGAAAATGCCCTCTTTAATCTTGGCATCGGATAAGGCTGGAAATTTCTCACACAAATATTTGAAACACTGTCCATTTTTGTCTAAGGCTTTAACAAACTGCTTCATCAAGCCAAGTTTGATATGAAGAGAAGGCAATAAAACTTTTTTGGGGTCAATTAAGCTATCTCTTAATACATTTTTGCAACCAGGTGTAAGGCTTGTTCTAGAGGGCCATTTTATTTGAGTCCAATGTCTATCTCTTTCCCGACTATCCCACTCACAAATAAAGCGTGGAAATTTTGTATAACCCCCCTGTTGTCCTAGTAGCATGCACAGCACTTTAAGGTCACCGCAAAGCATCCACTGATGTTCTTGGTAGTTTATTTTATTTAAAAGAAGTTCTAACATTTTCATGTTTCCTTTAAATGCACCGAATGTGCAACGGGAACCGAGGCCAGTTCGTTACCATTGTGCAATAAAACGCCTTTTAAATTACGCTTACATACAGCACATTTCCTAATTTTGAAACTAAGTCAGGAATATTGTTGCAATAGACTAGCGGTCTTTCTTGAGTAAAATATTGACATAACTCTTTTTCGCGATCCCGGTAAAAGCTTGATGTGACGCCAGGTGCTAGTAAATGCTTCTCACGAAGTCTAGAGGCTAACAATTAGGATGCATCCTTTGGAAGGTGCAAATCTCTAATTAAATCATTTAGTTGGCTGTAGTTAAACACTTCGGGCTTTCTGAAATCTGGTGTGAAATTTGAGTCATATGGGTCGGAATTAGATTCCTCTGATACTGACGATATGCCGTTTTCTATTTCTTTTGGGGCGATAGGTATCGGAACGTCTGGTCTATGAGGAACTGGTCGAATAGCAGAGTCAAGATTGGGATACACAATGTGTTTCTTATTTTTTCTGTTGAATCCTTGAACATTACACGAAAAAAAAGAACAATCATCACTGTGATTCCTAGGCTCTAACCATACCATAGAAACACCAAAGCTTAAACTTTTCTGCCTACCTTTTTGCCAGTTTCTTAATGCTTTAACGCAAACAGAACAAACACTATGAGGAGCCCAGGACTTGTCTTGGTTGCCAATTTTTACACCAAAATAAGCATGGTATACATTTTTTACAAAAGAAGTTATAGTTTGCCTCTGTTTTACTACGACATAACTACCACAGATATAACAAAAGTTATTTGGATTGTTCAGGCAATATCTTCTTTCCATATTTATACGTTCTAGAACACTATAAATAATACGCAACAACGCAACGAAGACAACAGCCGCGGACACAGTAGTACGACGACTAATACAACCAAAAACCAAACTGTGTATAAGCAAATTCAACGCTGTATTGACGCTTCTGCGACACCTCTGTTGCTTTGCTGAGAAATCTAATATTATCCAGTGTTCCCAAATAACATTTAATTTCATAAAAATCAATTCATTTAAAAATCATGCCTAACATGGAACAAACATAATTCATGTCATAGATGTGTATATTTATTAAATAAAATTTTTAAGATATATGCCACTATAAAAAAAATGACGTGATAGAGCAAAAATATGGCGTTTTTTTGGAATAAAGGCCCCCAAAAATATACAATTTAGCAAAGAGTTTTCAAACATCAAAATCACTATAGACCTAATCGATCAAAAACAATTTATTTTGCATAATATAATACAATTTTCTTAAAACTACAAACTTATATTATACACCTTAAATCATAATGTACAATTTTCTCAAAATTACAAAATTCATATATAAAGCCAAATGAAAAAATCAAGTGCGTCAAAAATAATCTGCTAAAAAGAAATTAATTATAAAATTAAGTCCTATATACTTTGTGCATTTTCAGCATTTTCTTAATAGCGTTAGTAGATGCATTATACCTGAATAAAGCAGGCGTTTCTATACAACTGATGGTACATTTTATCTTTTACATTATAACTGATGATCTTTTGCAAATATTTGGGGCTTTTATCTGAAATAGACATCAACTTCCCCATGCCACTTCTCTTCTGTTTTCCTCAGAAATGTGCTTCAATTCTAAAAAAAAAACAACTCTGTTCAGAATACTATGTTCCAATTGGTACTTTTTGGTAAGGTTTTCTTTGATGTAAGCCGCAGGTATTTTGGTAGGAAATTGAAATATGCGTGTCTCGTACCGTCTGTTACAACAAGAACGTTTCTTCTAGCCACTTTACAAGGTGGAACATAACTGTCTTTATCTTAAGCACAAGTGTCATCAAGTGGACGTAGTATTTTTGTAATTCATATTTGCACTTTTAATTCTACTAATATTTATAATAACAGTTTTGGATTTATAATTGCGACAAGTATCTATCACCCTGTTTAACGTAAGCTCATTAACTAATGACTTTTGATCGTTGTATCCGAGTGATGACTCGTTAATCAATCCTTTATATTCTGTTGGTAGGATATATACCCTTTTTTCTTTTTCTCTTAGTCTCACTTTGGTTAAGTTAGTGAGATACCTTATTTCCTCGCTGGACTCTTCTTCTCCGTATAGATCTTTAGGTTTTTAAAGAGTTTTCTATTTGGATATTCATAATTATTCCCACGAGTAGGGCAGAATGAAAGTCCGACAGGGCAGTGTTCCCATACCCCGCTAAGGCTACGTACTCGGAGAGTTCGTCTGGTTCCCGGAGGCATCGTTCGCAGCCGCGTCCGTGCGGCACGCATCTTTCGGCACAATAGTTTCCACCTTGGATTCCGGCTTTTTTACGGCTGGTATGCTCCATCCTAATTTTCTTTTAGGGTTTTCCTTCCCTTAGCCAACGTGGTCCCCGTTTTATGGCGCCGGGAACTCGCCATTCGCTCTCCCATTCCAGGGTCGGACTTGCCGGTTTGCTTTTGCTAGCTGGGAGGATGTTCTTCAAATGGTATTTATTGGTGTCACCTAGTCGGCATTAGTAACCCCATCAGTGCCCCCACCGACCATTTTGAGCTGCTTGTCGGCTTCACTACCCATTCCCGTCCCGTTGGGCGCGAGAACAGAGAGCTACTGAGCCACTCCACCACGGCAAGGTCTTACATCTCCTAGGAGTGAGACCTAACCTAATCTAACTTAACCTACCCTAACCTAACCAAATTGACATGGATATGATGTCGTGCTCACTAGTAAACATTTCTTAAATTGGTATAGTCGATTTCGTTGCTCTGTATACTGCAGTATAATAAAATATATTTTTACATTGATAATGTTCGGGAATGCGAACATTTGCTTCAGTTGCATCTAATTTATTACAATTTATTACATTTAACTGACTCTTGGAGTACATAAAAACTTGTAAAGGTAACCCGACAAATTGCATACACATATGCCCTGAACTTTTTTCTAATAGAAAGGTTTGAAATAAATCCGCCTTGTCTCTGGTGTTCATATATTGCCGTTTCTCGTTCCGTCTTTCTGATGATTTTTTTGTATAACATATAACTTTTCATTTCTTGCTTATGCCCATCGGTAAGAAGCGTTTCATCGCATTTTAAAAATGTCTGTGTGGGATCTTTATATGTGGTATATCCCATCAATAAATAAATAAATACGAATTCATGAAAATATAATTTTAAAATAAATTGTATGTCATGACATGTATATAAAATTGTAAAATCTAAAGTCATAATAATTATAAACAATATTTTGTTTCCCTCGCGATGAGTTCAACCTTTTGTCTTCGCTAGAACTGCCACGAAAGGTTATCTAAATGATGACGGCAATTTAATGTGTATGACGTAATGAAAATGAAAATGAAAAAGATATGTAGTGCAAGTATGTCGCTACATACCTCCCCCTTATATAAAAAATGTATTGTCAGTCATCAAAAGTCGATAAGGTGTTGACTGTTACATAATTCTATATCTACGAGTACCTTCACCTTAATCAAAACAAAATTTTGATATGACTCTGTGTATGAAATTGATTGAAATTTTTAATTTAATTGTCAAAAATATGTCATCAGTAATGTCAGTATTTTCTATAAATAATGTTGTATTTTAGATCGTGTTCTGGATGAATTATCCATTCTTTGATTATCGAAATTGCCCCGTTGTTAAGTGTTTAGTAATTCTATGTTATCTAGCAGGTTCTTTCTATTATATAAAGAATACTGCCATTGATACAATTAAGAATTACCATACTATCAGGACAATTAGTGTCCTAAATAGAAAAACACCAACGATAAGAAGGCATTAACAGTTAAAAAATTCTACGATCTAATAAAAAGTAATGTTAATCATGACGTACAAATAGAAATATTTTATGAAATTGATTGAAATTTTTAATTTAATTGTCAAAAATATGTCATCAGTAAAGTCAGTATTTTTTGTAAATATTATGTTTTAGATCGTCTGGATAAATTATCCATTCTAATGCCCCGTTGTTAAATGCTTAGTAATACTATGTTATCTAGCAGGTTCTTTCTATTATATAAAGAATACTGCCATTGATACAATTAAGAATTACCATACTATTAGGACAGTTAGTGTCCTAAATAGAAAAACACCAACGATAAGAAGGCATTAACAGTTAAAAAAAATTCTACGATCTAATAAAAAGTAATGTTAATCATGACGTACAAATAGAAATATTTTTTGTTTTTTTTTTTTTTTTTTTTTTAAGTCTTTATTCTTTAAATATCAATGTGTAAATGTGCCTAATTGGTAAGTTAAAATTTCCTTTTCATTCAGTTATTTGTTTTTTATCAATGTGCAAAAAATGTACCTATTTGATAAGTTATTTGTTTTTATTTAGTAATTACTATTATGCAGACAGGTTCTTCCTTATGCGAAGAATACTGTCAATACAAGATATAAGTAAATACTGATTTTATTGTTCTTTTGGACAATTATGGTCCTTAATAGAGTAAAAAATATTAAATATACTAGTTACATGTAGTTGGACAATTAAGGTCCTTAATAAAAAATGCTAGTTGCATGACTTCGGTTATGTAGTGCTCATTTGCGTTTCGTTAAATTGTTACATTATTTTCTTAATTAAGTCGTCATGATTAGAATTGGTCATTTGTAGAGTTTATTAAATAAATAGTCGGTTAAAATGCTTTTTACATGGTCAAAAATATGAAAATAATGTCAAAAATGATAACTAATGATAGAAAAAAAATGAATATTTTCAATTCGTGGCAGTCAGCGACAAAAAGATTAAACTCACCGGGTTTAATGTATCTGGAGTTCAATCCACGTATCTTGTTCGAAACTTTTCGGAATTTTCCGGAGGCGTACTGGATCTACATTTCTTCTTAGTAGGACCCGTTAAAGAATCCGGGTTATCGGGAACCGCAGCAGGCTCAAAAAACCGAGGTACGGCCAAAAATAAAGCCGTCGCTAACGCGTACTATCCATAAGTATCTCACCAACAAATAGTATCAGATAGATGTATCTTCAAAATCTTTGAAGGTCGGGCATTCTACGGGGTCACCAATTATGGGATCTTTATATGTGGTATATCCCATCAATAAATAAATAAATACGAATTCATGAAAATATAATTTTAAAATAAATTGTATGTCATGACATGTATATAAAATTGTAAAATCTAAAGTCATAATAATTATAAACAATATTTTGTTTCCCTCGCGATGAGTTCAACCTTTTGTCTTCGCTAGAACTGCCACGAAAGGTTATCTAAATGATGACGGCAATTTAATGTGTATGACGTAATGAAAATGAAAATGAAAAAGATATGTAGTGCAAGTATGTCGCTACAGTCTGTTCCTGGAAACTTGGTGCTGAGCAATATTTTAGTAATTTTTAAGAACTTTCCGTTTAGTACCTCTTGCTTGTCTAAACGGGATGTTATCTGTATTATAATGCCCATAGGGCAATTTGCAATTTGCAGTTACCTGCAATGTCTATTTCCATATAATTGCAATCTATTTCTAGAATTACAATTTTAAAACAAGCATTATGATAGGAAGCTAAAAATTTAGCATATAATACAAATTCCAATGAGTTTGGACGAACACCTCCATACAACTTTAATGAGCAGGAACAGTCCAAATTCTCTATCATATATTTCTTTATAACTTCCCGAATGAGGTTGTCATCGAATTATCCATTAAAAATTTATATAGTTTGTGTTAAAAATCTTTTTTTGCCCATCATTATTTTATAAATGGACTCTGTTTTACTATTTTTTTTTCTTCCACTTCAGAATTAACAGTGTTGGTTGTTGAAACACAGTCGC